AGTTTCAAGTCGAAATTCGATAACCAATTTTTTTAATGTTCCTGAGGGAGACCTCACGTACTCAATAAAACCCATACCTTACAAATAGACTATTTCCGTTACAATAAGCTATCCGCCCAAAATATTTTCAGCATATTCATAACTCTTTGGAACTACATAACGCAAAAACGATGGAACAGTTGGTGGCCTTTCCTCATAAGTACACATCGAAACCCTAATGAACTACATCAATAAACTGTTAGGCTGCAGATATAGCAGCAGTGTTTTATTTAGATTTCGTTTTCCGAGTGGGCGAATCAAAATTTCGGGTGGGCGGCGCCCACCCAATAGATAAATCACTGTATAGTAAGATGTTTGTCTTCGGCAACCAAACGGAGAATGATCCAATGAACACTGTGTCATTACTTTACTTTTACTTTCTACTGATGGAAAAATGTTGTCTCATGTGATTCAGTGGATAAGGACATTTTCTTTTCTTTTCATTCAAGTAAAAATATTTATTTACAATAGTATTTATTTCTGCAAAGAGTGATTGTCCATTGGAAATAGTTGCACGACGTGATACATCAACACGTTCTTCAAGTTCATCACATAAAAAACTTTCTTCATCACATAAATTTGATAAAGATAATCGAGCTTCGATTGATTCAGTTTTTGCACTAGAAAATTAATTGAAATGTATTTTATTTTTTTATAATTATTAATTAAATCGAATATTTTTTCAATATACTTTCGAAGTTGTTGACGAAGTTCTTCAATAATTTTTTCTAAATTTTCATTTTTTTGTATTGTATTCTATAATATTTTATTTATAAAATGAAATAATTATGATAATATCTTGACAAACCTCATTCGTAAGATTTAAATTATCTAAAGTTGTTCGTAAAGAATTAATAATTTCATAATTCTAATTCAAAAAAAAATAGATTCTATTAATCCAATCTTCTAACTAAATATTAAATACTTCTTTTAATTGATTTTGCATTGTATTTAATTGTTCTTCTAATTGTTGTCGACAATTCTACAAAAAAAAAAAAACAAACTCAAAATTTATTGAAGTTTTATTTTATTTTTTTTAAATATTAAATTTCATACAAATTCTTTTTTTAATTCATATTCAGTATCTATTAATCTATTCATATATTGATTACGTTCTTCTCGAATAATTTGTAATTGATTTTCAATATCAATTAATTGTTCTTGAAGTTCAAATTTTTCTTTTTCACAACATTCATTTTCTTGTTTTAAATCACGATAAGAATTTTCTAATTGATTTTTAGAAATATGTAAATCAATATTTTCATTTATATAATGTGAATTACGATTAAGATTTTCTTCTAATCTATTTCAAATATTTGAAAAAAAAAAATAAAAATATTCATTATTTTATTTGATTTTAAAATTAAAAAACATACGAAATTTTTTTCTTTTGGATTTCTTCATATTGATTTTTTAAATGTTGATGATCATCGTCAAGTTTTTTATAATCTTCTTCAAGCATTCGTAAACATTCACTTTGTCGATGATTTATTTCCAATAATTCATTATATTCAATTTTACATCTAAAAATTTAAATGAAATAAAATCTTACTTAAAAAAAAAGTAAACAATTTCAACTTTTCATGATCATTTGATTTTTTTCGAGAATCAAATGAATTTGATGATATATCATCATTTGTATGTAAATCAATATTTTCTTTATTCCGTCGTTTTTTTAAAGATGATGATGATGATCCATTAAGTGACATTGATGAAATTGATTTTGATATCGATGTATTTATATTAGATTCACTAGAAGATTAATCTTATCATATATGAATATATTAATGAAATTAAATATTTACTCAATAAGTTGAGAATAAAGCTTTTCAACAGCATTAAATAATTGATCAAATGTCACTTGTTGATCTGAACCACCAAGTTCATTTAATAAAAAAGTAAAATCAAATTGTATACTTAACTAATATTAAAAAAATAATATCAAATAATATTCTAATAAAAAAACATACTAAATCTGTATTTTGTTCAGCTACAAAACGAAAATGTCGTATAAGTTCACCAGAATTAACACGTTGATATTTATCAAGTACACATGAATTAAATATATGTTGTAAACTTATACGTTGTTGTATTGTTTCATGTCGTAAATTTAATGATTCACTTGATAAAGCTTTATGAAGATGAACAATTGGTGATGACATTACGATTGAAAAGAACAAAATTCTGTAAAATAAATGAAAAAGTAGACAAGAACGAAGACAAAAAAAAAAAAGTTGACATATAAATGAACAAAGAACTAAACGATATTGGAACAAGAGTTTTTTTTTCTCCCGTTTTACAGTTTATTGAGATATTTTTAATTATAAAATTTTATTAAATAGAAAAAAAAAAACAAACAATTTATTGATGATCTAAAATTTTCGCTGAAATTCTTTAATTAAAACTTTGCATTATAGATGTCATTAATATCTTAACTGTAATACAACAGTAATGATGAAATGATTAAAATAAATTGTATTACTTAAGCAAGATTGAGAAAAGATAAACTAATGTATAAAAGCCGATTGAAAATATAATTTAACATGTTAATGTTTATCTTTAGTAAATAATCGATTATGTAAAATACATGTATCTGTATTTAAGACGTATATTGTCTCTAATTATCTTTAAAAATTCATAAATAAAAACATAATCAAGAAACTTTTTGAATTCAATATTCAAAGATGTTTTTTTCATCTGTATTTATGTTATGAAAATTTTCAGAACAAAAACTATTAGAAAGAATTTATTTAGAGTACTAAAAAAACATGTATCCTATAGTAACATGAATACTAATGTTGCCGTTCAATTTTTGTAATACATGTAAATTCTAAAAGGAATAAGAATGTATTTATTTCATGCATACATTATTCTATGAACAAACACTGAAAGTGGTATTAATCTCCTTGAGAATATTGGTTGAACAAATATTATTTTGTGATAAAATAGTATAGATGAATCATAAAAGTAAACCAAAAAAGACTGAACGAAAATGATACCTGTTGAAGAAGTGTTCTCATAGAGAGACCGTAGTGAAAGAAATAGATGTATATAAACTGGCAGCTATAGTTTCTGTTATTATACTGATCAATAGTACTAATTAGCAGTGTCATAGAAGCCAAAAAACTGGTATAATTAACCCTTTCAGAGTATAAAATCGTTTCTTCGAAAAAGAAACACTAGGTAGACGTCTAACAATATCATGCAAAAATATAGGTAATATAGAGCTTCTTGTTGCAGAACATGATACGGTGACTATAGTTAAATCAATAATGAAGATAGGTGTGAAAACTAAAACCTATGAAAACGTAAACCTGTGTGTATTTTTTTTTCAGATTATCTAAACATAAGAATTGAATGTTGCAGCTTGCATAAATATGTTTTTCTTATCATTGTAAAGATTTATTCACGTTTATAAACGGATGAAATGTTAGTTTATTTATATTTCATTGTTTTAAAACTAAATTGACTGTTAAATCATTTTTCAGAATACAAATCAATTAGAATGTATATTTATTATTTTTTTAATGTAAACAATGACTTATATCAAGATCATTAGAATTATAAGTCGATGCAGCAGTAGTTAAATTTGATGTACTTTTATTTGAAATGCAACAATCAGAAAATAATGCTAAAAAAAACTGACTGGTAAGAGACTTCAGAAGTACATTTCTACAAAATGACCTTGAATGTAGCAAATTTTCAAATAATCGAATTTATATTTTTATGTTACATTGACGATGATAGAAAGTCTTCAACTATTTTTGAACTTATCTCAAATCTTAGGCTATTGGCTTATAGATCTAAATATCAATAATGTGTTAAAAAATAAACAAATAGAAACTGAATGTATTATATAGATCCATTTATCGACTTGTTAATTAAAGTGATTTTACAAGAAAAATCTATTAGGAAGCTTGGAAAAAAAAGTTATTGTATGATAACTTTTTATTTGGTACTAAATTCATCATTGATTCGACCACACAAGTTTCTCAATAAAGTTGAAAAAAAAACCTATGCTTATCAAAACAAGCATATATAGGTTAGCAAGTGCAATCTATATATGGCTGTTTACAGTGAGAATACGATATGTAAGTCGTCATAATATTGAATGTCAAAAAGATGGTCGTGTCATAGTGAGATAATAACACTTATTACCATTCTATAGAGTGCAAATATTACATCAGATTACTGTAAACAGGATAATAAGAAAATATGGTCCATTTACGACAGTAAAGTTGTCATTTTTTACTAGTAAAAAATGAACCTTATACAATATTTGTTCTGAATAACCTAAATACACTTATATCAATAAGTTCTTTTCCTTTTGTCATTCATGTTCTATTAAAATCACTTCATTGATATAATGGTACTCATCAGAATAGTTTGAATGGCGTAGATTCATTACGCTTTTCATATATTATTAATAGCCTAAGATGGTGCTAAAAATAAAATTGATCGGTTTTTTTTTTGTAAAATTTTGCATCGTAGATGATTTGTCTAATCAAAACAAAGATCATCATTATTATTGATAAACGAGCAATTATTTTTCTTTTATGATACGAATAATATTTACTGCGTAATAATACTTAATTTGAAGGTCAAAAGACTCTATATGCATTCTTCTCAAGACGAATCTTCTAATAATGTCATTTATTTTTATTACCCAAACGTATCGAAAGAAACATATTTGTTTCGAGATGATAATTTTTATGATATCATAAATGAGAAAAATAACACATGTAATAGGAGAATGTTGATCATTATAGTACAATTTTATGTTTATTATACCATTGTTACGTAGATATGCATCGTTTATTAAAATGTACAAAAGAAAAAAAAAAAAAAAGAAAAGAAAAACAAGATAAAAGTAACGTAATACAGTCTACCAATGGCGCGGGATCCGACGCATGTAGAACAATATCAAAATGAATGACGGAATGATAAAAAAAAGTCAATTCTTATCTGTTTAATTTCCACTGATAATAAATAAAATAGATAAAAATGCTCAATGGAGCCATGGATGCTAATATATAACCAATTATTTGAAATGATAATGGATAAATAAATGTTTCATATGAAATCAGACCAATTGTACGCGTAGCAATGGCCAACATACCAAAAAGCCATATAGGTACAACAATTATCCAACAGAGCCAAACGTGTGTTAATGGACGTTTTAAAACTTCACTGATGATAATAAAAAGAGAAAACAACAACCATCTCATTAAAATAATCATTTAAATTGAAAAATAAAAAAACAAGTAATTTTACCTGATATGTGTAATAAATGTTTGACCAGGCCATTTTGTTGGTGGCCATTTTTCATACCATGATGAAAATGTTGTACGATATGCAAAAAGAACTGTAGTTAATTCTACAATACAAATAAGTAATAAAGGTATAGCACCACAAATATAGCTATCAAATATATTAAATATATAAAAACCAGCTCGAGTTGTCATCAAAAGACCAAAAGAAAATGATATAAGAGCATAAATAGCAACAACAAATTCACGACGAATTTTTCGTCGTTTTGGATATTGATCATACCATTGATCAAGTTTATCAAGTGTTGCTGTAAGTACTATAGAGAAAAAAAAAACATGATTTTTATTTTAAAATTCTAAAATATATAAAATAATATTCATTTCTATTCTTACCACTTTCACATGTAACAAATTGTGAATCAATACCAAGTAAAAAAATCATAATAAAAAAAGTTATTGCCCAAAAATGTGGTAATGGCATAAGACTAATAGCTTTTGGATAAACAATAAATGCTAAACCAGGTCCACTAGATACAACTTGTTCAATAGATACATTTGCTTTATGACTCATAAAACCCAATATAGGAAAAACTACAAAACCACTAAATACATTTGTTAATATACTTGTTGTTCCAGTTACAACAATATCACGATAAAAGTTATAATCAGGACGATTATAACTTGATAAAGCTGGAATAATTCCCCAACCTATACCATATGCCCAAAGAACATGTCCTTAAATAAAACAATATTTCTTTTTGAAGCACAAGGATAACTCAAAATTTACATTATCAAGAAACATACGAATATCGTTATGACGACTCGAATGATCGGGACTGGTTTTTTCTTTATGTCAATAGTATAGACATTTTTATACTTCATATTCATAAAGATAAGGCGAGAGATAGACTTTGACAAAAAAATTTTACTGTCCTACAGATAAGAAAAAATAGTATCTGTCTACGTTTGTTTTGTAAATTCTTTTTTTCGAACTCAGGTATTTGTAGATATACAAGATTCATAACAAAAGAATAAAATATTTCAAAAAATAACCATAGATAGAGATGTTAGATCAATGTGATTAATTGTATAGAAGGAAAAACAAACATATTTATAGCGTATACACTATGAACTATGGTATAGCAAAAGATGAACAATTAATAAACATATATAAATGAACAACGCGTAGTACTTAGCATATCATTTGTTTGTTTAACATATCTTATTTTGATAAATTGACTCTTCCTGACTATAAATTGTTTTTTCTTATCTGTGAAAAAGTAAACTTTGTTTTTGTGCTAAGAGTTTTCTCTAATCTTTTCTTTATTATTAGTAAAATAAAAAAAAGAAAAGTCAGCCAGTTCGTTCGATTCGTAATAAAGATATGCGATCATTTCTTGATAATATGACTCTTGCGTCGCTCTGTATTTTTGCACCCACTTCTGATCGTAACAGTCGTAATTGATAATGATCAAGGATCGTGTGTCAATTATAGCTCGTTATAATATATGACCTAATTGCTGTATGACATTTCTCGAGGATTAAGTAAAAGCATAGTGAAGAATTATGTGTCTCAAAATAGATAGAGTAAAATAATCTCTCTGTAATCAGTAACGACAGATGCGTTATGTTTTATATTTTAATTCTATAGAGATTATACTAACAGCATTTGTCTTATAGTAAAACATTTTTTTTTTTTGTTTGTTTAAATAATTTACCTGCAGCTTGTATCCAAGCTTTTTTATTTAATAATCGTTGTGCATCAGGTATTAAATAATATTTTAAACCATTCCAAGCTCCATCAAGAGTAATTCCACGAATAAATAATGCTAACATTGGTAAATAAGGAAATAAAGCTGTAAATACAGCTACACGACTTGTTAATTTAATACCTTTCCAAAGACATAAATATATAATTATCCACATAACAGCTAAAACAACAACATTTGGCCAATGTAATGTTGATAAACCATCTAAATCTTCTGATATATTTAAAATTGTTTTATTCCAAAATTGTTGAACTGAATTAACTAATTCTGTTTTATTATTTTTGATTAATAAATCTTCAATTATATATTAAATAATTAAGAAAAAAAAAAACGAAAAACCAATTTATAAAACAATCAAATTACCTCCATCATCACTCCATGGTAATCGAGAACCAATAGAACCGAATGAATGAACAAGATAAAGTCCACCCCATACCATAATCATAACATAATAAAGAGCACCAAAAAATGAAATTATAACAGAAGCAATACCAATACCACGCATAGCTGGTGCAAAATCCCAACAACCAACTGGACCTTTACGTGAAAATTGACCAAGAGCTGTTTCCATCATGAGTAATGGTATACCACATAAGATACAAATAAGTACATAGGGAAAAACAAAAGCAGCACCACCATTCTCAAATGCCAAATATGGAAATCGATAGAGACTACCTTAAAAGAAAAAAAGATTAATAAAAATTATGTGACTATTCTTATCCAATGTTGTTGTTGTTGTTTTTTTCATTTCATTCTTTATCTCATATGTACATAAAAATATATGCTTATTTTTATTTTTTTTACAAAGGTGATGACATATAGTAAATTGCGTCTATTTATTACTCATCGTCTTGAATTTGATTTCTTATCGATTAAATTTTTGAACCTTAATATATCATTTAAAATAAATATATAAATATTTACCAAGTCCAATAAGACCACCAAGTGTTGTAATTAAATAATCAAAATTAGTTGTCCATGTTTCACGTGTATCATCTTCATTTGATAATGTTTTTCGACTTGAACTTGATTCTTTATCTATAATAATTGTTGATGTAGGATTATCCAATTGATGATGTTCAGTTGTATTATGAGATGATTGAGAATAATTTTCATTATTACTTTGTTGTTCTTGATCAATAGTAAGCAATGAAATAAACATGTTTGCTGAATAGGATTTCATTTCAATAGATAAAAATGATAGAACATTGTATTTCTTTTTATTTGCTTTATTTGGACTTTGGATTCAATAATGATTTGTTGATGGCGATACACTATAAATCCTTGGTTATAAGTTCACACCCCTTTCTCCTTTCTTTTGCTTTTTTTTTTTTTTTTTTTTTTTTTTTTTTTTTTTTTTTCTTCATACAAGTGACAAAGCAACGCGTATAAGTGTGTTAACGTACGCATTCTGTTCTTTACCAATGTTGTTCCTTTGTATTCCGGTTAAATTTGTTTTCTGTTTTTTTTTATGGCATATTTTACGTAACAAAGTTTTTTTTCTCGATAAGACTATGAGAAAAACAAGAAAAGAAGAAGTAAAACGTTGCTGTTGTTGTTGATTCTGTTTTTCATTTAGATTTATTAGATTATTTAATACTATACAACTATTAACGTCATTAGATTATACGTCGTTATAGAGATTCAATAAATAGAACGACCAATCAATAACGTTGTTTTCTGATCATCATCATTTTCGCTTTATTAGATGTCAGTACATGGTAGTTTATTCTATCCTGAATGATAACGTTCATACTTATCGAAAAGAAAATAGATTTATCATACAATTAAACTGTGTCGGATTTTTTTTTGTTTGACTCAAGAATCTATTTTTTTTTTCTTTGCGATATTACAAAAAGAAATAGGTCAAGTTGAGTATATACATAAAAGAAAAATATTACTATTGGCACAAGGTGAAAAAAGTTTCGCTGCTTAGTAATACGATCATGTGCTTACACTTCAATCCCTAGGAATACGAATTACCTAATTCATAGAATTAGAATGTATGAATTTCTAGGATATGAATGATAATAATTAATATATTTTGTGTAAATCTTTTGAATAGTTTTGGTTAAAAGTTAATTTATATGCGAAGAAGTATGAAGTCAAAGTTTATCAATATGATAAAATTTGCTGAAATCAAAGACAAAATTATTTTCATCTTTACAATAAGAAAAATATCAATCGAATGAATTTGTAAAAAAATATGTTAGAATTTTTGTTATTATTTGTAATTTTGTAAATTGTTTTCTGATATGTTTTTGTTTTTAAATCTTATTTTCAAGAAAGATTGATCTTTTTTTTTTTTCTACAATATTCTTTCTATCTCATTTATATTCGCATATATAATTAACAAATATCTATTGAGTATATGACCAATGATTCATTAAAAAAATAAAAAAAATAGAATCATTTCAATTGATTAATCTATAAACAAGTATTGCCTATCATAAAATTATCGTTGTGAAACGTTCTTTTTTTTTTTTTCTTCATTAGAATTCAAATTTTAATTTAGAAAATACAAATCTTATTATAAATGCACTTTCATACAGTCTATTAAACAAAATCAACAAAAAATAATTCATTCATATTATTGTGATTCAAGTTTTTGAATAGAGAAGTTTCATGAGGCGAGCAAGAATTTACATAACATAGTTATTCATTTCCATAGTTTTAATCGTTAATGAAGGTGTAACATTTACGATTAGCAAGTAAAAATACATCAGTAACTTGATATTTTCTCGTAAGATATTTTTCATCAAAACTTGACTCGTACTCTTTCTTGTTTTTTTGTACTTTAACATTTTATCTTATACTCCCACAAGTATCATATCTTGATAGACAATGTTTTATGATGAAATATAAAGTCTACAGCGTATTTTTGTAGATTGATTTTGAATATCATACTTATTTGCAATAAAAAAATAACCTTTGACAATCAAAATCTTGATGCATTAGATTGGTTTTTATATCTTTTATGTATAGATAATTGAATTAGAAAAATATTCAATTTTTTGCTAAGACTCAAAAATCTTCAATATCCGGTTTTGATAATTTCTCAGCTACGCACTAACCACAATAGAAATTATTCAAATAAGAGAACAAACGAAGGTGTGATGGAAAAGAAGTATAGTCTGGGCTTCGATTCGTCCTATAATTCCTATTTTTTTGAAAAATCCTATATTTTGTCAAAAAAAAATGAAAAAATTTTACGAGATTTGACTTTGCCCTGAGGGGGGAGTATGAGGATCTTCGCGACGCAACCTGCCACCCCCCGGTCATCACTTATTACGAAAAAAAACAGGTAATGTGAATAGCTGTTTCTTGCAAGTAAAGCACATACATTTGAGGTGCAGTTCAACGTACAATACCTAAATTTTGGTCAATTTTTTACTTTTTTTAGTGAAAATAATCGTATAATTCAGAAAACAAAATCCTATATAGGAATTCCTATAATTTCGAAAATTTGTAATCCGAGACCAGTACATGCGGCTAAACTTTTGATTGCTGGAGGTCGTGAAAAATTAACATCAGTTAATGAACAACAACAACAACTTACAAATGAGTTCGATAAACTTCGATTAAAAAGAAAAGATGCTTTTCTTCATGAACAATCAATCAACAAGAAGCTGAAATCCATCCAACAGAATCAACATAATATAATAGACTTGATAGATAATACTTAATGATTATTATTTAAGTGTTTTGTCTATTTATAATCAAGTTGTATTTTTATAAGTCAAATGTAATTATGAGAAATAGTATTTGTTTTTTTTTCATGTATTTATTTTTTCAAAGTTTATGATCTACTTTATTGTTATTTATTGATTTGTAAAAAAGTTTTATAATTAAACTTTATATAGTGATCCTCGAATTAGCGACTTATTTCAGTAGAAAGAAATAACATAAGAATCTTGGTTATGGTTGAGCTGTTTATACCAGCTTCATTAAAATGATTTTCGAGCAGAGAAGTTAAAAAACACTAAAACAATTGAACAGAAGCTATCTATAAAAAAATCCTATATTTTAGACAAACTTGATCCTCTAAGAATTCCTATATTTTTAAAAAATCGCAATCGGAGGCCAGATATTTCACTACTAAAGATGTTATTGGTAATAAATTATTATAAAAAATCTGCTAATCATCGAAAATGAATTATCATTGCAACAAAAGTTCCTAGTTCAGTTGATACTCATGATACAATTTAAAGAAATTAAACAAAATTTTGCATAGTTTATATTGATTTCTATCCAATACATTTATCAAATAAAATAAATTCTCTGTATGAAACAATGAAAACTTTAAAAAATGGTTTAATTCGACGGTATCAATTTCATAATATGAGATATTCAAATTTTACAAGTAGATAAATAAAAAAAAATTAATATGATATATTAAATAAAGAATATTTACAAAATTCATTTTTATGTCGAAATATTGAAAGAAATACAATTAATTTATGTTTTAATGAAAATTTAATAATTTCACTATGGTTATTATTATTTGATAATTCGATTTCAGGAGAATATGGTTGATTTATAAAGAAAAAAAAAGTGGGCGGGAAACACTCAGCATATTTCAGTTAGTATTGAAGAATTAATAAACAATACAGTTTCGAATATTTTATGTAGCATCGGTACAAAAAAAGATTGGTTAAAAAAGTCAAATCGATCATCAAAATCAGTAAAACAAATACGGAATAATAATCTATGAACTTCGATCAATAGCTAAAGAATTGAATGTAAGTATTGCAACAGCTGTTTTACAATAAATTATGTAACAGCTTGATGTAAAATTGGTTATCATTGATGCAAAAACAATTCGAATAGAATATGTAAGCTGCTATTATTTTTCTATTTGATGATGAAACGGCAGGATGGAAAAAAATACCTGACAAATCATCACTCGTAGCCAGGCGAAGAAATATCATAAGCACCTAAGATATAATTACTTGTAGCTGTACCAATGAATGTCATAGGTACTTAACACATCATTATTCATGTCTATATAAATGAATATCGTAATTAGAGCAAATCACTTGTGGTTTAATGATTTTTAAAGTTATGGACAATATTCTAACAATCAATAGCAAGTTTGTTTTTTTAGTCTATGTATTTCTACATTACAAATATTTATCTTTTGATTCTTTTAAATAAATTGACTTTTGTTGATATTCGATTAAAAAGAAACAAACAAATAGAAACCCTAGTAGTTTATCTAACAAAAGACATCAATTAGATTTTTATTTTTCTTTTATTATTTAATCAATATTTCGTAATGGCAAACAAAAATTTTCATTCTTAATACCATTAAAACTCAAGTACTACTATAACTTATTATAGTTTCTTTATCCGGATTCATTAAACAAAAGAAAAATCATAATTTTTCAAATTAGAATTATGATTAACAAACAGAAACCAATTTGAAATAAGATTATTTTACAAAGAGAAGACTTTCAGATTCGATACTTTTTCAAAAAGAAATACCATTTGCTTTATTCTTGTCAAAATTTAATAGTCATCAATGTTGTACTTTAGGTTATCGTATGTGTTGTTAAAATGCTATTATTTGTGTGTATGTTTCTTTCTTATTGCTTGGTAAATCAAAAAAAACAACAATCGACCAATAACAACATGAAAGAAAAACAAACAAAAGAAAGAAAAAAAAGATTCAACGAAAGACAATAAGACAAAAAAAAAAGAAAGAAAAGAAACGGAAAGAATATCATCCAAGAACTTCACATACACACACACACGTGATAAACACACAGATAAAGATGAAGTGTACTGTTGCAAGATTATGTGTTTATTTTTTTCCCGGTTTTTTTTTTGTCAATGTAAAAAGGCAATGATTTAACAAAAAAAAAAGGAGAAAAAAAAAACAAAGTGATTACATAAGATATTTTGCTCTAAACGAATTTTGTTTCCACTCAAAACAGAAAACAATTTGATTAATAACAGACATATACGTGTGCATATATATTATCCGGATAACAATATAAGGTTCGTATAGAAACAAAATGATAAATCAAAAACAAAACAAAAATGTACACCGAGAAGAACAACAATGTGATCTAATCAAATAGTACTGTTTTCTTTTATTTTGCACACACTTTATAAGATAAAGTTAAAGTCAATATAGAATATATAACGGTATTTATCAATAATAAAGCAAAAGAAAAACAAATCATATGTTATGATAGTCACATCTGATAAAGAAGGCAAGAGACGAAAAAAGAAAATGCCATAGAGACAAACAAAAACAACAACGAAATAGATCATATGAATATTCCAATCTGAGAGAGAAAGAGCGAGACAGAGACACAATTTAGAGATAATGTATGAAAGAATAGGACACATTTAAAAAAAAAAACTGAGCAAAAAAAGTGAATAACAGTTGAATGAAAAACAAAAAAAGAAAATCCACCATAAATCGCATGCGTTGAAGACTTATGTATAGGCTTGTTTTTTTGTTTTTGTTTTTGTTGAAGTTTAAGTTGTAGAAAATAAATAAAGAGACTCGGACGAAAAAAAACAAAAAACAAAGAACATATTGTTGTGTAATAACAAAAAACAAACGAAACAAAGAAAAAAATAACAACAACAACAAATAATCGATATGATATTAAAAAATTAACTTTCTTCTTCTTCTTCACCTCCTTCCAATTCAGTGTCAGCTTGTTCTAACCAAGTAAAAAAATCTTTTGTTGACATTTCAACAACAGAATGTCCTAAAACAAAAAAAAAAAGAAATATATTAATATTAAACAAAAAAGAATATTCGTTTGTTATATTTACCTTCAGTTTCAGATGGATCTGGATTTTTAAGCCATTCAAAAAATGCATCTTCACTTACACATTCTTCATCATAGAAAATATCAAATAATAATTGAGCCATTTCTATAAAAGAGATTAGGAAAATTTTTTTTTTTTGTTTTTGAAAATAAATTCTTACTTGGTGGATGTTCAAGTTTATTAACAAAATTTTGTATAGCATAAACAGCTTGAATTTCAGCATTTGATGTATGTTGAATAATTTTCTTAAGAATATTCATTCGTTTTTTTGCAATATCTTCTTGAATTTTTTTTTGTGGTTCACGATTTATTAAACATGCTTCCAAATAAGATAAAACAATATTACGAATATAATATTTATCTTTTGAATTCATATGCTAAAATTAAAATAAGTAGAAGATACAAAAAAAAAACAAGATCTTATTATACTGTTTCAATATATGTAATAATTTCTGTATCAGTAACCATTGTACCTTGATCACTAACAGATTTAAATAATCGTACTAATGGCATATCAGCATGTGGTACAATAATAGTTTCTTTTATTAATGATGTTGTTTCAGATAACCAATTAAATTCATTAATAAATGAAGAATCAAGAGAATCTATTTTAAATAAATCATTTAATGAAAAACCGGATGATTGCCAAAATCTTTGTATACGTGATTTTGACTAAAATAAGAATCAATAAGAAATTATTATAAAACCAAAAATATAAATTATTTTTTTCTTACAGAAAGTTCAATTGCATATCGAATAATATATTGAAATAATTGTTTACATTTTTCATCGGGTACTTGATTTAAAAGAGGTTTTAATAATAACATATTTGATGTTGGACCACCAATAAATGCACCAAGTATTTCACCAATATATTGCCATATAAGAGGAATATCTACTGCAAAATCTGGAACTAATTCAATAACCATTTTAAAACTAAAATAAAATAAAGTTTTTTGTTCTTTTTTAATTCTAAATATGTATATATTTCATACCCAGATAGAAAAGCTTCTTCAGATATAATATTTTTATGAAGTACAATATCAAGTAAATGTCCAATAGCTTTACGTGCACGTGGTTTAGCTTCTAATACATTTGTAAATAATTCTCGAATAATAAGTGCTTGTTGATCAATATTTGTTGTACAAAACTCTTTTACATCTTCAATAGCTTCCTAGAAATAAAAAATAAATTTTGACAAAAATAAAATTCAATTATTATTTAGAATATATATCAAAAATTATAATGAAAATATTTTTATTTCTTAAAGAAATTTTTTTTCTCTCTATAGAATTTAATAGTAAAAAAAAAAAACAATTATATACATTTTTCTGATATTTAATCTTTTTATATTAAATCAAATTTCAATTAGAATTATTTATTATGATACTTAGAGAATAAAATTTACTATTAAAAAACGAAAATCCTACCATAGACAACTTAGATCATCCGTAAAAATGACTTCAATACAAATTTCTAATATAAAAAAAGCTACTATCAAACTATATTGAGATAAATTTCTTTTTCAAAAATATTTAAAATAATTTCATCATTAGTTTTACTATATTCAAAATATTTCATATTTACCTGTATAGGTCGATCATCATTATCAGAATAATTTTCTGTATATTCTTCAATTAATGAATGTACATGTCCGATAGTTTTTTCTTCATCATATTCAATTTTTGATAGATTAGTATTATTTATTGTTGATATAGATATTTTATTTGATGATACTATTGTATTAACATTTGATTCACGTGATTGTTCACGACTAAGATTACGTGTATTTGTCATTGAAACATTATTTGAACTAGGTATTCCAGCACCACTTGATCTTCGTGATGATTCCGAAGAATTTTCACGTAATAATTCCTATAAATAAATGAAAAATAAACAATGAAAGATTTCTTTTTTTTTGTTGTTGTTGTTATTATTATTTTACGCGAGATGTTTGAGATTGTAAAGGATAAGTAGATGTGCCATTCGATGTACCAATTTTAGATCTTATTTGTGTAGTAGGACCAGCAGGAGGTTTACCACTTCTAAAAATATTTAATTTTTTTTTTAGAAATCATACTTTAGAAGATAGAAAGAATATAATTCATCGATAGCTTATTAAAATTTTTTAAGATGCCGCTGATTTATTGTTTTTAAGTTACCATGGTAAATTCTTCAGGCTATTTTACTTGACACATGATTTAAGTCAACACTTGAACATCATTTCGAAATGAGAAAAAACTTGTTTTTCAAAATTCAATTTCATTCAAGAATTAGAAATATATATAGAAAGTGATAATTAATAACTTCTAATTTTCATGTATGAGAATGTATTGTCTAAGAAAATTTTCAATATGATTTATGTACATGAAACAAAAATTGATATTAAGATCTATTTCAATAAGAAAAAAAAAAATTTTAGAAAATATTTTGTAATTTTTCTTTTTTCAACTGATTTATTTGCAAAAAAAAATCGATATCTATATCAATTTGTTCTAAAACATTAGTGTGTAAGGCTGACAAAATGAATCTCCCTGTATATGACAAAAATTAATTAAACTAGAAAGCTGCATTCAATAGAATATCATTCGTATAGTTTCAACTATTTTTATTTTATGCGCACAATCATAAAACAATGAACTTTTTTATTATTGTATATAGGATCATGTACTAATATATATAGGGTGTCTGAAAAGTCATTAAAGTTAGAAAAATTTGAATATCTCCATTACGGCTCGACCAAAGGGACTCGTTTTTTTTTTATACCAAGGATAGAGACATGGTCACACTCCAAATTCATACGGACAAAGTTATTGAGAACCTTTTGTTAAATATCACTATTGATCTTAATAAGAAAATTTTACTTTTTCACAGATAGGCAAAAAAAAACAATATTCTTAACAAAGCTTCTCTCTAATCTTGTCCGTATAGATTTGGAGTGTCAACATACCTCTATCGTCGGTAAAAAAATCAGCTGGTTTGCTAGAACCATAATGGAGATACTCGATTCTCTTTTCGATAAAGTGACTTTTGCACTATCCTGTATATTTTCTTTTTTCTACCTATGAAAAAGTAAAATTTTCTTATTGATACTTAAATAAGGTTCTCAATAAGTTTGTCCGTATGGATTTGGAGTGTGAACATATCTCTATTCTTGGTAAAAAAAATGAGTCCCTTTGGTCGAGCCATAATGGAGATATTCAAATTTTTCTAACTTTAGTAACTTTTCGAACACCTTATATTCGAAGTTCATTCAGTCAGCTACCTTCTTTATTCAAGCGATAATCAAGTTATACTTGTGAATGATAAAGAAATGTATTTCAAAAATTGTCTTGTGATTGGCAAGAGCAGATACATCGTTTTTTCATATTTTAATTTTATAAAGATTGCATTAATAGAATCTATTCTATAATTCTTACCGTGCAGTATTTGGACGATCATTTTCAGGTTTTTTTTCAGCTGCTGATCCTCTAGACCATGCACCTTGTGGAGCTAAATTTAATGACTATAAAAAAGAAAAAATAGATTATTTAAATTTTATTATATAAAAATATTTCTTACTAATGCTCCTTGATTTCGTTTATCATTTGATTGTAATTGTCGTACTGAATTAACAGTAAAACGATTTGCACTTTGTTCATCATCTATTCGATTTGATTGTTGTTTATTACCACTACCACGACTACCACGTGATTCAGTATATTGTTGTTGATTACCTCCATAATTATTACTGCCACCAGTACGACTCGATTCACGACGTAGTTGTTTATCACGTTCTTGATCACGTTCTTGTTGTTCACGTTTGATTCGTTCTTGTTCATGAATTTCATCAATTGTTGTTGGTTTGGATTCAGCTCGACGAGCAACCCAATTAGCCTAATAAATAAATATATATATGTAATATGAATAAAATATAAATAATTATCTTACTTTTCTAAAATCCATAACATCTTGAATCATAAATCGTATACGTGCTGATGTTTGTCGTTGTGTAATAATACTTTCTAATTCATTATAATATTTTTCTAAAAGTTTTCGATTTGGTGACTAAAAAATAAATAAAAAGAAAAGATTTATAAATCGTATTAATATATAAAAGATTAAATTATATAATATATATATATATCAAGCAAGTGCAAGCAAGACATTATGTGCATATTGATTATTTTTAACACTCACTTTCTGAAGTAGACATAAGCAAAAAAAAAAAGAGAAAATAAAATAAGATATAAAAAAGAAAATTCTTAATTTTAATAGAACATACCTTTTCACTTGTTTTAAGATCGAGCTCTTTACCAATAGTATTTAACAGTTTACATAAACATTCAAGACTTTCTTCGTCCGTTTTATCTTTAAGTAAATATTCAATACAATCATACATAATTGTATCTGTTAACATTTGTAATTTAAATAATTCACCGATAAAACTAAAAGAAAAATTAATTTTTTATAGAACTGTTTCTTTCTTTTTTTTTTATCTTTCAGAATATAATATCTATTATCTAAATCAATGGTAATGAATTAGAAACATTGAAGTGCTATCGAATAGAATCCTAGAGGAGAAAAACAACTTAGCTTTAGTTTATTTACGATCTTTTTGAAAAAAAAAAGCACCTCTGATGAAATTTTTTCTATTTAAATTTTACCATATATTATCATTTAATTTTACTTACAAAATATTGCCTAATTTTTTTCGTTTAGCTTTAGCTAAATTTTCTTCTAATTTTTCAGATTCTTCTTTTTGAAGTTTTTCATCTGTAATAGCTTCAACTTCAATTTTTCGTTTTTCATATCCAATATCTTGTCGATAATCATTTTCAAATTCTTTTTGACAACGTGTTAATAATAATTGTCGAAAACTATGTGTTATTCTTTGTCCATTTGCATCTGGTACAGTAACTTGTTTACGTTGAAAAGATTGACATAATCTAGCATAAAGAAATGAAAATTTTGGTTCTTCAACTGCTTTTGTAAATATATTTGTTATTATTCCATCTAAACGTTCATAACGATCAAGTTCAAGATCATCAAGTTGTTTTAATAATTTATCATATGTTTGTGGTGTAAGTTTATTTAATATTGATTTAACATCACGTAAAAATTTTTCATTTAAATCAATTTTATTACGATCAATTGTTGTATATGGATTATCAGATCGATTAGCTAATGGTGGTTTTTCTATAGGTGTTTGTGGTCCTCTGCTAACACTATTTTGTGATGCACGAATAATAGGTGTATCAGTAACACCATCAATTGATTTAAGAGCAACTGGTCGTTTTTGTGAAATAGGATCGGATCGTTTATTAAGAAGTTCTTGTTTAGTATAACTATGACGTTTTGATATTGATGGAGTTTGAACAATATTTATTGATTCAAATTCAATATCATTCGATGATATAGGTGTTTCAGGCGATGTAATATTTTCTACAGATTCTGTACTAGATAATGATGGTATAGATTGAAATTCATTTATTGTATTGGAATCAATTGTTGATATATTTTCATTATTAGTGCTATTTGTTGAATTATCAGTTGTATCATTGGACTAAAAATACAAAAACAAAAAAAAAAATGTTTTTATTATTGTTTTGTAATAATTATTTTTTTTAAAATTAATACCCGATGATTTCGAATATAAGATCTTTGTTTTCGATATCGTTTATTTTTTATAACCATAATTACACGTTCGATTTAAACAAAGTGCATTTTTTGAAAGAATAACTATATCCTTATATGTCTCTGACTGTTTGCTTATTCTCGTTGAGAAATAAAATATTAGGCTTTTTTGTTTTCTTATTTTCTATGTTATTTCACAATTATGTTGTTTACGATTATATGCTATATATATATATATGGAGAGACATATTTCCTAGGCAGAACGAGAAAGAAAAGAATAAAGTCTCTGATGATTCATATAAACAAACATATAATATACTAGATGAAACTGGAAAAAGAAGGAATCATGAAGATGACCTATTTTTCTTTAAGTTCGAAACAAAAGAAAAAAAAAATGACTACATAAAATAATTTTTTTTCCTAGTGCAAAACGAGTAATGCCATCGGTCTTTATAGGGGGATCTTGTTCAATAATATAAAACGAAAAAATATTATATCAATAAGACGGAGATTTCTTCTAATAGTAAGTGATAAGAGAAGATAGAACTGAAGGGAAAAACTTAGTAATACGACTAATTTTTAAAGTACAAAAAAAAAGGACGAAATAAAATAAATTTCATTTTTTTCCCAGTATAAAATGAGTAATGTCGTTTATTTTTATAAGTTTTTGTGCAATTATCAAGAACGAAAAAAATAAAATAAAATATTTACTGTTGACATAATTGTTTCAAGTTGTTCTTGAGAACTATTTTGATCGTGTTTGTCATCTTGAATATTTGATTTATCTTCATTGATATTTTGAATAGGAATATCCGGATCACCTGGTTGAGGTTGTTCAGTTAATTGATTTAATGTTGATGTTGTAGATTCTGTTAGAGATGTTGAGTTTGATTCTGGTGTAACATCTTCTGTTGGTTTTTCTTTCGTTATTTTTTCATCAGTCGAATCATCAGTTGATGATTGATTTGTATTCTAATAAACAAATAAATAATTTTTGAAAAGAAAAAAAATTCAAATACGTAATACAATTTGTTAATTTTCTAAGATATAAATTTCTTGTTTAGAAACTCTCAATATAATCCAACAAGGCTCTTTTTTTTTTAAATACCTTATCTGTTTGAACAATTGGATCTAATAAACGAGCAAATTGTTGTCGAAATACTTCTCGTTTTTGTGTTGTATTTGTATCATCCGTTGTTTTAGAATGTATTGTTGTTGAATCAGTTGCTGATTCTTTTTGACGATTCTCATCATTTGCTGTTGTTGAAGATGTATGAGTCGTTGGATTTAATTCTAAAGCTTTTTGTGAAACTGGATCAACAATAGGTATTGGGTGTTTTGTACGTTTTTCTAAATGAATAATAAATAGAAAATTTTTTCTATAATAATATTAAAAAAAAATGAAAATATTTTTTTATACCTTTTGAATGAGATGGTTGAGATGATATACCATGTTGTTGATCAATCTAAGAAAATAAAAATAAACAAATAATATTTTTAAAATAATAAAAATCTAAATAATTTTTACTGATGATGTTTGAGATGTTTGCGTTTTATGAGTTTGTGATAATTGCGTTGGTTGTTGATTATTAGCAATAGAATATTGCGATTGTGATTGTGATTGATTAGATATTTGTGATGATGATGTTGGTTGTGGAAAATTTTGTGGTGAAAATGTTTGTGGCATAGGATGACCTAGAATAATGAATTTAAGCTTGTTTTTTTTGTTAAATTTTCTACAAAAATATATAAATTTACGATAAAATGGTGATGGAGAATACATATGTTGTGTTTGTTGTATATTACTATTTCCATATGGTGAATATGCTGATGGTGGGTAAAAACCTGGAGTTCCACTAGAAGCTTCATTCGGTGGTCGAATAATAGGAATATATGAATTCTATTCGAACAAAAAATAAAAAATAAAAAGAATCATTTGTATATCAAAATATTTACTTGTGCTCGTGGATTATTTGGATGAAATTGTGCTTGTAAATAAGAATAATTGTAAATAGGTTGTTGTCCATAAACGTTTGACACTGATGGATTATAAAACTAAACAGTACGAATTTAATTTAAGATACAATTACAACAAAAAAAAAAATTTTTTTTCTATTTCATTCTTACTGGTGCACTCATATGTTGTGATTGTGCAAATGTATTTGAGTTTGTCATGGGATAATCTATAAATATTAAGTAGAACAATCTTTAATGAATTGTATATAAATAAAGAACAAACATACGTTCTATTCCATTTGATAGATAATAACCAGCTGTTGCCGGATGTGTTCCTGTTGAATTAGTATAATATGTTTGTTGATCAGTATTCATTGATTGCATTAATAAAATTTAATAGAAAATATGAGAAATATATAGAAATGATAGGGTTTTTTTTCTGTGTATATCTGATTGATATATTATTTCAGTTTATATAGATATATAATACCGATTCATTTCAAGTAAACTTTAATAAATTGCTGAATTCTCACTGTTCAAATATCAATATATATATAACAGATAAATGATAACCTTGTAATTAATAACGATGATTAATATATATATAAATAACAGTTAAAAGAATAATAACACTAATAATAAAATGTTAGTTAAGTTTTATCGATATAATGCGGACGAATTAAGTTGTTTTGTAATATGAGTAAATACTAAAAAATAATGAAAATATTTTATGGGTCAATGATGGAAAAAAAAAAACAAATTTTCTTTTTTATAAGTGGATGATTAGCTTGTATGTATGAAAATATATACTCGAGACCCGTGCGTCCCATATGTAAAAAGAATAAGTGAAGAAAAGAGCAAGAAAGACACATCGATGTTGCTGTTCGTTTCTCTTTTTTTTTTTTTTTTATTTTTACGTATTGTTCTATGCGTGAGAGAAAAAAAAATCTAATTTAAAGAAAAGAAATTTCGAAATTTTTTTTTCTTCTATGAGGATATCACATCTATTTTAATTGGTTTATGTTCATCAATCGAATTTGAATTCTTTTAGTTAGTAGCCTCCGAATCGATTTTTTCTTATTTTTATTTAAAGAAAAAAAGCAAAAGAATCAAATAAATTTTCAAACAAATATTCTTTTCTTGATTACTAATTATTAATGTAGACTGTTTAATATAAGATGTCACTAGTTTCTATTGATTACAGATTAAAACATAAGTATAATAAAACCAAATAATAAAAGACAGAAGATAATAATACCAATAATCAGCATTAATATCAATTGAATACTTCGACAATTATTTTTCCAACATGTTCGCCATTTAACTTTTTCTGAAACTTGTTGAAATACTTTGGTTTTTTTTTCTAGTTTTTCAGCTGCTTCACCAAGTTCAATCAGATCATGATTTCGTGTTCTTACTAAATGTAAACTTTTTACAAGTACATTTTTCGCTTGATCAATACTTTCTTGAAGTGTCTTGGTTGACATTGTAAAGTAAATGAAAAATAATTTTATATTTGCTTGACCGTCTATCGTAACTTTCTTGCTTTCTAATGAAGAGAAGAGAAAAGTGATACTATTTATGTCTATAGGATTTTGTTTTATAAAGAAATATGTCAGAAGCTAACAGTTATATGTTAAATATAAATGTGACAAATGACAGAGCTATTCTATATTGTTTTTTCTTTTTCTTTTTTATTAAATATTTTATTATAATACATTACAATAATAATCTAACCAATTCTCTTCTATACGTCAATCTCATTTATTATGTAGGTAGTAGATGACGATAGTACTTGTTTTTATGAATATTCTTATCGTTGAACGGCTAAGTGAAATTTATTTTATCAGTGAGATTGTCTAGTACAAAGTTCAATGAACTACAAAGAAAATCTAATTTTTGTATTCAGATAGTTTTATCACGTCGGAATATATTTAAATTTTTCCAGACTAAAATAAATATTTTTCTTTCTATATAGATTTTGATTGACTTTATAAAAGAAAAATTATAATTGATACTTAATTATGAATTATCGTATAGGTTTTTATAATAATTTTATTATTTTTGTAAAACTCTCGATAAATTAGAAGATTTGAAATCTTCTACTCTGTCTTATCGTTCACAAGTTACAGAGAGGTCTCATAATAGATTGTTAGTATACGAGTGCTTGTAGATTAACACAATTAATCAGATCTTTAAATTTGATACGATTTACAAAAGTACAAAATTTTCTAAAGAAAAAAATAATAAAGCATTCGCAAAATTTATCCTTTCATATAGCTGAATAGTTAAACGAGAGAAAATTTCAAAATATTTTAATCAATGTTATTTAATCCAATTCATGTTGAGTTTTGCTGAGTGTAGATGCAATTCGTTCTAGATGAAATGTAATTCAGACTCAATTATGATTTTCTACGTCACATGAAGAAGCAGTTTGAAACAAAAACGTTATTGAATACAAGTTGATGACATTTTCAGGGTTTTTGAGTCTGTTGCGAAAAAAAAGCGTTTTTACGTCGTTTTGTAACAAAACATGCTTCTTCAAATGTAGAGGGAGTACTGCACAGAACACGCCACAACATGTGCCATGGCAAATGCTTTTTTCTACTAAGAAATATGCTCTGCTGTGCCAATAATATGTATGGGCAAAGTACGGTTTTAAGTGATAAACATCGACATGTCTATAAAGATCTTCTTCGAAACGTGCTGCAAAGGAGTTCTAAACTGTTACTACGACACGTTTTTTTTTTCATAGAAAAAGCTCACATGTTAAATTAACTATTCTTTTCATTAGTTTCTTTGCTCATGATTTATCAAACTATGAGTGAACACATAACGCAATAAGATACTGATCACATAACAAAGAGATGGAAAAGTACATTTGTAACAAATGAAAGTTTGTCAAAACGAGATTTAGAAGTATAAGTGATTATCCATAAGATAAAAATAGGTGTCCTATGATGATCAAGATTCACTCTGTTATCTTTTATTCAATTACACCTTTCTCTCATAGGAGATTGTTTTTCTTTCTACAGTTTCATGTCATATCAATTTTCACATTTCTGTTCTCTCTTTCATGACATAGGAGAATTTTTAATTTTCTGTTAGTTTTGTCACCTGAATTTCTCCTTTCTCTCTTATTATGTTTGTTGAAGTTTTTCCAACTAGTCTATTGTCATGAACGTTTTCATCACGTCCATTTCCATATATAGTGTAATTTCGCAATAACTGAAATTCGAACAGGCATGAATATTCTTCAATCTTCAGAGTTACTTACCTAAGGGCTTCTCATTCTTTTTGTGATAGGATATAGAATCTCGAAAAGTTTTACAGATTGAATTTGTAGAGCTCTCTTCGCTAATCATCTTGATAAAAAAATGTTTTAAACTTGATCAATAAATAATACTTCTAGGATCAAAATATTGGAAATCTTAAACTATTCTGACTAATAGAGCGAAGATGTTGATTAATATTAAGATTGTAGCATCGTTATTTATTGATCAGCAAAGAAAGCTTTCTAACATTCAATCGACGAAATACTATTCCCAGAACCTTATTTTTTCATGGCTCCGTACTCGTGGAAATCTCCAATGATATCTTTCAAGTCTTCAAAAATTTTCATAATTCTACAGCCCATACTCATCTTATAGACGATCAGTTTTCCTTCACAATGCATTTTTTGGGTTTGAGCTGTGTACTGTCTATGGAATGAGCATAATATGTGATAGATTTCATTTGCATTAAATAAAATAGATTTTAATCAAGCGAATGTCATCAATATGATCTTCCATGATACTGATGCAATTAAAATGATGAAAATATTCTTTTTAATTAATACAACTGAAGTATATTAAATTTTATGTCACCGACATCAGCTTAATGAGGATTGTTTATTCATTGTTCAAGTCCTTCAAATGTCTAAGCTTTAGATAAATATCACAATCAATCTCATGCTTTCCTTCCTTTCATGAACAAATATCACATGTATGAGTCATACGATTGTAAAACTACAGGAAATAAAAAGAAAGTCTTCTATACAATTTAAATCAGAATTATGTTAACAGGATATTCAATGATTCAGAAATTTAAAAAAAAATTGTTTTTGATATATGATCAAAGGTTATAGACATTGTCAAAATATACTGTCGAGGCCATCACATGTCTGTCTCAAATTTTGTACTGATTCTCTGATAAGTAAAAGAATCATAATCTAATTCAAATACTTGCACTGTCAAACATATGATTATGAAATACAAGATATTATGATTGTTTTTTTTTATAAAGATCAACAAGTTAACTCAAGTGAAAAAATAACATTATACATGTAGGTATCTTATGCAATTCAATTTTTGGTTTCTAATTTGTCATCTAAATGAAAAATAGCAGTCAAGAATAGCAAATCTTGCTATAGAGTAGATTGAAATTCAAATAAAATTAATGATTTTGAAATACATGAGAAAATCGTTTTGAATTGTTATCAGTTATCTGATTTCTTAATAATTGGTTGTTCGAAAATGCATTCATTTCTTTCAATACAATAATAGAATATTTAAGCGAGCTATTATAGATGATCAAATCAAATCATTGGTTTGACTCAACTTGAATTAGGTGGTTTGAATCAGATGCAAATTGCCTGTACATATTTTGCTGTAATACATACTATATCAGCAATCGATCGGCGAATGTTTGGCATTCGTATAATTGGTTATTTTCAGACTTTCACTCTTCTACGAACAAAAATAAGTCCCCTTGTCTTTTCCTCTTATATCATGATATATACAATTGTATGAACATATTATATTTTATTAATGGTTTATTTTATATTCGTATTGAAATGATCGATTTTGTTGATATTGATAGAATATAAACAAAAATGCAAATAAGAAAAAAAATCCTATTTAACTGTTTTCAGTTTTCGAGTGAATACATGCCGAAATGTATCCTTTTTGAAAGCCGACAAGTTTCACAAATGATCACTCACTCTATTGCAAATAATCGATGCTGATACATTTCTGAATCAGAGCGACAATTTCACTTGAAGTTCTCGCTCGATTGCCCAAACTATCCATACATATAATATCAGACATCTCCTCATCGCACCTGGCATTATTGCATACCATAATAACAGGGCTAACTTCGTATGGTTTGAGGAGAAGAATTTTGTGTATGATTATTGCCCCTGTTCAAAGCCACATTATCATCCAATAATCGGTAATAGAATGACAGACTATGTGGGAAGCTTATCAGCTACAGAAAATAGTCGGCTTTCAAAAAAGACATATTTTTTGATACATTTATGCTAAAACTAAAATCGATTAAATAGAATACTTTTCTTCTTTGCATTTTTGTTTGTGTTTTTTCTATATTAACAAAATCGATCATTTTGGAATACATACAAAATAGTACCGAAATAAAACATACTAAATAACATAAATGTACGTATATACCAATCATGAGTTTCTAACTGGGAACGTTTTACCGGTATAATAACGATAGTGCATACAAACGTGCAACGTAGCCAGTTGTTTTTTTTACAAATGACCGAACTTGACTTGTGTTTGAAAATCGTTGACTTACCGTCTATCTCTGATTTGTTAAACAGCTACTCAATTTGTTTACAAAAGATAGAAAACATGACAAATATTTTTTTTTTCTCATTTATAAGTTTCGACGAAGAATATAATTCTTTTTGATGAATGATGAATAAAAAAAAAACAATTCTATCAGAAAGAACAACTTACTTTAATTTATTAACCAATGCATTAAGAAAATCATCTTTTTTGAAAAAGATTTTACAAACATGATAATTAAAATTAATCATTGTATTTTTGCCTCTAATGTGAAATGGTTGTATTCTCAATCTTTTCTTCAGTTTTCTGACATTACAATTGCACACACGCATTCTTTTTTTATCAAATGTATAAAAAAAGGAATAACAATATGCTGATAAAACAATTGACAATTTACTACATGGGTCTATACCATAATGGAGCATGTGTAAGTGGAACTCGATTTATAAAGTTTGGACGAGAAAACAAAGATGGTGTATTAAAATTTTGTTTTGGATAAAAAGGTGTATTAAATGGAAGAAATGTTGTACCAAATGGTCTTATTACTGGTGGTTGATTAGTTAGAGGAAAAGTTGGTGTAGGATATTGTTGCTGTTGTTGTTGTTGTTCTTGATTTGCTGGTCTAACTAATGATGTTGCACGACTACGACGACGACCAATTTTTGGTGCAGATGAATTAACAACATCATTATATAAATGCCGATAATCTTTAACTGTATTTATATGAGCACGATCAAGTTTAATTGGACGTCTTTTACCATGACGATCTTCAAAAAAACCATTAACAACTTCATAATCACCTTCTGGATTGTCAATATCACGATATTTATCTCGTTTTTGTCGTTTTTTATGTTTCTTATGTTCATAATTGGACATTATTGATGGTGGTCTATCATCAAATAAAATAGATTTTCGTA